CCGAAGTGTCAGCTTTACTGGGTCGCATCCCCTCTGCGGTTGGTTACCAACCAACCCTCGCTGTTGACATGGGAGGTCTGCAGGAGCGCATTACCACCACCAAAAAGGGATCTATCACCTCAGTTCAGGCTATCTATGTACCCGCCGACGACTTGACAGATCCTGCCCCCGCCACTACTTTCGCTCACTTGGACGCCACCACTGTTTTGTCCCGTGGTATCGCTGAGTTAGGTATTTATCCCGCCGTTGACCCTCTCGACTCCACCTCCCGTTTACTTGACCCTCGTATTGTTGGCCAGGAGCACTATGACATTGCGACCCGCGTCCAGCAGATCCTGCAGAAGTACAAGAGCCTTCAGGACATCATCGCTATTCTGGGTTTTGACGAACTGTCTGAGGCCGATAAGCTTACTGTCGATCGTGCTCGGAAGATCCAGCGCTTCTTGAGCCAACCTTTCGCTGTCGCTGAAGTCTTCACTGGCATCGAGGGTAGGCTAATTGACCTGAAGGACACCGTCGCCTCGTTCAAAGCCATCCTTAACGGTGAATGTGATGACCTGCCCGAGGCTGCCTTCTACATGGTCGGTGACCTGGCGTCAGCTCGAAAGAAGGGTGAGATGATTATGGCGAGTCTGAAGAACGAGTAGGAAAATTGTATTCCAGACGCCGTGCACTTTAGTTTCCGTGTTCATTAGTTTGGAAGATAAGTCAAGTTATGAAGTACTTGGCGTGCATCATCGGCTATCTATTAGGTAGAGCCTTCTCTGTCAGCTGCATTGAATTGGATTGAATTAAGTCAATCTACCTCTATTGGAGTCTTGGCCGTATCGACCGGTAGAGCAGCTTATGTTTCTTGCTTGATTGTGTCGAGGTTGCAACCGCCGTCTCGGTTTCATCGATCTGGTGAATTTGAGGATACCACTAGGTACGGTGACTTCAGTGTAGGAGGAGCGATTCGTCAACGTTTCTATCTGTGCGGCCCATGGGTGATTAGGTAGAAGACAATCCCTTGTGGCTAACGTTATTTACCTGGTAAGCAGGTACTCTGTCATCTGGAGCTGGTAGATCCCCTTCGCTGCTCTAGCTCTATACCAACAAAATTTCTCGTCACTTATAGTTGTGCAATTGCTATCCTTCAACTCGAGACTGGTATCCTTGAACTAAGCAGATGCAAGACTACCTCATAAACCAACATTGCTGTAGCAGATGCCGGTATCGCTCCAATCAAGCTAGTACCCATGCCAGAGTACAAAGCACGCCAGCCTTCCTCCAGCAATATAGTTCTCAGAGTGCCTACAATACCTCGGTACGGCAGCGGATATTTCTGCCGCAGCACTCCAGGCTCTCCCTCCCGTGGGAGTTTCTGCTTTCCGGATTCACCTCCGCCTGACTGGGCTAGGTCTTGTCCACCTCGGCGTATACTTTGTTGCGTTTGCAATCTCGTTCGGATAACTTCGTGTGGATATGTGGCCAGAGTCGCAGTCGCTTTGCTCGCAGAGCTGGCAGTTAGTATACCTAGAATCTGGAGTAGTCCCTCGTCTGTGTGCCAACTTCCAAGTCCCGATCCAGTCAAATATCTTTTCAACCATTCATATAAAGGAAACTGTATGGCCAAGTGCGTCACCCCAAGCATAGCTGGGGTCAGGCCTGAGTAGAATGAAGTCATGCCTTCTCGGCTGTACATCTTCCGAGCGGCATCTACGGCAGACTTATATTCTCTTGAGGTATTGTGTGCCGTGACAAGTCTCTGAGACATGAGTCTGGTTTTGATGACCCATAATGGATTAGTAATCATAATAGAACAGCAGCCACCGACTACTGCAGCGAGTGAAGCAGTCCACATGGGCTGTGCAGCTATTGGTGGAAATCAGCAAGCTTTTTGCAGTTTAGGTGCTGCCTGGGGCTAACTCACGGAATGTTTTTCGTAAAGAATCGCTAACCTTGTGATACACGGCGAAATATATCGCGCCCCTAGGAAGGGTTGCTAGCATGGTCGGCCCTAGACCTTGGTACATGCCGAAGAAACCCCTTTCGCGCCACACTGCTCGCGCAGTGCCAATTAGGCCCCTGTTGTTAAATGTGCGCCGTTTGCTAACGGAAGCGAGTGTCCACAGCTGCAGCCCGCCCCTTCCCTGCAGTCTGGTTTTGATGACATCGAGAGGGCAGATTACAACGCTGGACGCTGCGCCGCTGGCGGCGCCGGCAATACATCGATTTACTGTGTCCGATGAAGACGCTGGCAAATGGTCCATAACAGAAAAGGTATAAGTTGGCTTATGTGGCTGGTTGTCTCTCGCGATGAATAATACACGATTTCTGCTTCTGACGCTGACGGGCGGCTAAGTAGCCATACGTGTGGTGTTAGGAGGTGAAAAGACCAACAATGGCGCCGAAAGCCTGCGGCCAGTCATTTCCCATTGTACTGGCCAGTGGAGAATGTCTCCATTACGGTCAAGCATGACGTAATTCACACCTAGACTGTGCGGCGGCCTCTGAGACCAGTCGCTTAATGCAGTCGCTGCTCTGAAATAGACCCTCGCTGTAGTTGCTAATACTTGTCTGATAGATTTTGCTCAGCCTACGAAAAGGACGCCTACGATTGTCCTTAAATATCAGTGTTTTTAGCGCGCGGCCATCATTAAGCTGAGAGCAGCAAACTTCTCGCAAAGGCGAAGATTAGTGACCCATATTTCTAAGTCCATAATGCATGGTAAGAAGGGTAACTCAACGAATCAGAGAAAATAGAGAACCTTGAGCACAAAGTCGGCAAGTGGTCAAGGTAATAGCTGAGCCGGAGGCCGCTCATCGGTCAACTAAAAATTGAAACGGAACGTAATAGGAACTGATGCAGATAGCTTCCCCATCCGGTTGTCACTGCTGGAGCCGGCCGCTTTGGCCATTGATGTTGCAGCTGCCGTGGTCTTAATAGAGCCGAATTAGAATTTGGCAAGGGATTGACGCGTTTTGTTCCATTGGAAATTCTAGAAGTGGCTTGATCTGTTTCGCCAAGATACATATCGGTATATGCATTTGAAGGCTTGCGGACGTGCACATTGCAGTATTTATTGACATAGCCGCCAGAAAGGAAACGCGAAACTGATCGTGAGTTCAGTTGCCAGCAGCTCATCTAGGCTGCCGCCTAGCATACGATAGATGACGATCTACAAGGTTTTAGAGGCACTTCTATTGAGTGTTTTTTTTTTTTTTTTTTTCATTTACTATGTGCATACCTAACTCCTGGAGCTAGTATAAATCCAGCAAATTACTCCCAGAGAAAGACGCCTGCCGTCCGATGGCTGAATGTTCGTTATACTACGAAGCCCTCCACAAAAAGCAGCATCACCTACTTGAGGCGTTTCGGCCGTACGGCACGCATGGAGGCTATCCAGGTAGGCAATCGCAACACAGCTCTGAAAATTTCAAGAAACATCCGTCGCATATCAATAAACATATGTCTCTCCTGTGGATGGCGACCGCCCGCCTTGGCTGTGACGAAAAAACCAGATCGATGTGGTGGAAGCGCTGCTCGCAAAGAGGCAAATCGACGTCAATTGCTCTCCAGAAATCAAAGGCCGCGGTTCTCCCTTACATTTAGCTCGCAAATTTTGCCGGTATCGCTTGGTCGAGATGCTGCTCAAAGCCAACCGCATCGACAACATTGCGGTCGATAGAAACTCGCGTCTTGCCCTCGATCTTGCAGTGCGGTCAGACTGCTGTCGCACCGTTTGAACGGTCCGCAATGCACTGATCAGCTACAAGACCTCACAAACTCAATCAGTTTTAGGGTTTATGTGCACTCTGAGTTACACAGCAGAGCGCAGAACGCACAGCAAAAGCGGCTGAATGTGTAGCTCAACATTTGGCTCAACGAACGTAACGAGTGTCTGAGGTCCCTGCCAGCATGTCCTGAGCTGTAGCAGCTTTAATTACAGCGAGTTGCGTCACTATTTGCCCCACTGTAGCGGTGCTCCAGCGGGCTGCATCACCTGAATCACGTCGAGCGTCCTGGCACATGTATTATTACCAACGGCTATTAAAAGTATCGTATTTTACTTGCGAAATCATATTGATATCAGAGGCTGACACTAGTCTATCAAATACCTGACCAAAGCTCCCTCTACTTACTGGCCGTTTTCGCTCGCAACCGGATTCCGGCCAACCATCAGATACATGGGCATAAATAGTCATGCAGCACATAGATGCAGCGACATACCAGGCCTACATCAACCAACGTGTGCAGTGTGACACGGTGGCGGCGTTCCTTGGTCGACCCTCCAATAAGGCTTTGCTGAAAGCAGCAGGCCACATGAGCCGTTCTGTCGATCCTCGAGCACCAACACAGGCGAGCACCGTAAAGTTGAAAGAAATCGAGACGGATACAACGCTGGCCAAGTTGATTGAGCTGCGAGATTCTTTAAGCTCGGAGGTGCGCCGAGAAACTGGGACTATTAAAGGTGCCGAATCTACAGGAACTAAGTTGTAACTCCCACTACCCGCCTGGTACTGGTAGGGAAGCAACCTCTTGAGCAGGGATCACAGCTATTATAGTAGCGTTGCAGCCCGAACACGTCAGAGGCTGCAGCATAGTATACGCTTCGTTTTTACTTTTGGAGATGGACGAGGGGAAGAAAGAGAAGAACGATGACGAGGCATAGCGATTTGCCCCTTTGGATTGGATCGCCTGACCTACGCATTTTTTGCCCTAATGGCTTTTTAATAGCGGGCGTGTGCTTTCATATCTTTACCAGAAGTACAAAGCATCACAACTGTCAGTCTGCCGCTAACAACACTATGGCTCATTCAGTTACAATTGCTTCTCTCCCAAAAGCCACGACTTGTTGACTTGGCGCTTGACGGATACTAAGACCTGCGCAAGCTGAAAGGTGCTCTGTGCGACAACAGCTACGCAACAGCCCGTGACCCTAGTGACAGTGTGGTGCATGGGACCATGCTGCTCTATACCGTCGGAAGCGACCGTCCTGGAGCTGCGCAGAGCAGCTGTTGCCCGTCCTGCTGAGCCACGTACCGGGCACTGCGAGACAACAGTACCAGAGCCAGGATCTGCAGCTGACAACAAGCCAGACAGCCTCGGCGACCGCTATATCCCGGGGTGGATCAGTCCGTTGGTCCCAACGACTCCAGGAAGCTTGCAGGTCGGTACATACCGTGGAGAGCGAACCTCAACCAGCTCAGACTGCTGCCGTCCTCCCCAAAAATCAAGTCTTAAACCCGTCCTGCTTCCAAAGGATCTAACGGACGTCGTTCTCAGCCGGGTATAGAGAAACCTATTGTTATCCAACATCTATTCTGGCTTGATGCCATTTCAGTGATTCGGTCAGAGCTGACATATTAAACTCAAAGCATCCGTCTGCCTCCTGCTGCAATGCCTCCATGGAATCAGAGAAATTGAACATCGCCCAGATGACTGACTTGCCAGGGACTTTGATTCATTCCATTTTGAGTAGACGAGGACCTACTGACTTTTCAGCACTCTTGCCTCTCTTGATACGGGTACTTGGGCAGCAAACTATCATAACAAAAGACGACGGTGGCGGGAGGCTTATACATCTCTCAGCAGCAGCTGGAGATTGCGCATTGCTCAAGATCTTACTGCAGCATGGATTATTCAGTCCTAAAGATGTATGCGATAATGGCATGACCGCGCTCGCATATGCCGCTGAGCACGGACAGCAAGACGCCGTTCAATCATTGCTTGAGCAATCGGACATTGAGGTAGAAGCAAGAGATGCTCATGGTCAAACGCCGCTCTCACGCGCTGCCTGTCATGGACATGAACAAGTCATTCGACTACTTTTGTCCCATCCAAGAGCTAGAGCACATTCGAGAGATGAATCCGGTCGGACGCCGCTCTCCCTTGCTGTTCAAAATGGGCATCCAAATGTGGTTCGATTACTACTCAAGCGACCAGAGGTCGAAGCTGGCGCAAAAGATGACAATGGTCTGACCCCAATCTGGCAAGCCGCCTGGGGTGGCTACAAGGACGTCGCGGCACTCTTACTGGCCCGACGCGATGTTGACGCCAACGTGAGAGATGATGATGGTACGACGCCGCTTTGGCGCGCCGCTTGGCGTGGGAAACATGAAGTTGTCCGACTGCTGCTAGCACAAGCAGGCATTGACGCTGACGCAAAAGACAGGAATGACCTGACGCCCCTGTGGTTTGCCGTCTGGAATGGACACGCAGACGTTGTTCCGCTGCTGCTGGCCAGACCAAATGTCAACGCCGACATTCGCGACAGGCACGGTTTGACGCCGCTCTCGCGTGCTGCTAGCAGGGGAAACATGGAAATTGTACAACACCTCCTGACCCGGCCAGACGTCAACGCAGATGCAAGAGACAAACATAATCGGTCGCCACTGTCTTATGCGGCCGAGCGCGGACACAGAGACATTGCCAAGCTGCTGCTTGATCGAGAAGATGTCGAAGCAGATTCGAGGGATATCAGCGGCTCGAGCCCGCTTTGGTACGCGTCGTGGAGTGGGCATGCACAAGTTGTTGACTTACTGCTGGCCCGACCTGGTGTCGAAGCAGACGCCAAGGGCGAGCGGGGCTCGACTCCGCTCTCGTATGCCGCCTGGGGGCTGGGGGGAGGGGGGGGCATCTGCTAGCGCGACCAGATGTCAAGGTAGACTCCCGAAACCGATATAACCAAACCCCTCTGTCATATGCTAGGGAGAGTGGATATGAATGGGTTGTTCAGTTGCTGTCTGGCTAGGCTCAGATAGGCTGGTTAGACATGTTTAGCATGGTCGGAAACACATATTCGACCAAGGACTGTAACAGCCAGCCATGCCATACATAACTACTGGCTGCTTTTCTTCCTGTCTCACACTCCGTTTCGTCTGCAACTGGACTTACCTAAAAGATATAACAAAGAGCCGGAGTAGAATTAACTGAACTTTGCCAAGTATCCCTGTATCTCATCACC